GGACCACGCCGCGGTGTGCAGGCCCGAGCGCCCGGCATGGCCTGCCCTCGGCACCGGACCACTGCGGCCACCTGTCGCCTCCCCCCCGCGAAGCCACCGCTGTCGTTTCTCTGTGGCAGGTCTACCTGGCGCCGTCACCACACCTCCGGGGGCGCTGGCCCTGACAAGTCCGGCTGCCCAGTGACCCGGGCAGGCTTCCTGCTCTGCCGGTTACGGTGACCTCGACACCCGGTGCCTGAGGGCTCCTGACCAACACAAACTCAAGGCGTCGGCCGGGCGTTGACCGCACAGTACCAGCCCACCAGGTAGAATGTGGGGCCAGTGGGCGAGGGCCAGGGTGCCATGTCATGCTCACAACGACAGACCGAGACGGGGAGGGCCCGGGCGCAGGCCACCAGGACACCTGTGACGGGCAGCAGGCCCCGCGGAGCCCAAGCCCACGCCAAGGTCGGCTGCAGCGGCCGCGGCTGTGTCGACAGGGCCCGGCCTTGCCCACTGTAACACGGGCCCGAGGCCCGGCTGCACGCCAGGCCGGGGACGTAGCGCTCTGGTTCCCAGGGAGCAGGACTGGGGCTGGCGGGGAGACGGAGAGTGGCGCCGTGTGAGCAGCGGCCTCTCCTCTGGCCCCTCAGCACGACGACTCCTCTCGCATCCTACGAAGGGTGCTCTTTCTTCGGGGGTGCTGACCTTCCCACATTTTCCTGGTGTTACAATGTCTTCTCCTAACCGGTGGCCGCGAAGGGTTAGATGCTAGGACTGCTCTATCTCCTGACTCGAGACGCCAAAAGCTGGCGGCCCCCCACAGCAGGTTCAGGCGAGAGGCCAAGAGCCTGTCCCGACGTGGCGGCGGGAGCTTCAGCCTGACCTCGCCCATGACACGCTGATCTTGGGGGGAAACACCCCTAAAGAGCAGCAAGTACGATTCTCCCAGATGCCCACGGAAACACTTCCCAGAGGGGAGGAAGGAAGCCACCTTCCCCAACAGGATGTCCCGGAGGCGGGGCTCTGACGCTGAGGGCCAGCGCCCTGGGGCGGGGTGGGCGTGGCTGGCTGGGGGCTGGCACGGGGAGCCTTTGCTGGCAATCCCAGCACACTCTGCCACCAGAGGGCCCGGCCACCGCCTGAGACTGCGCAGGTTAGGGTGCCTCCAGGAGGCGCCCTCCGCTGCACCCGCCTCTCCTCCTCCGGCAGAGCCTGCAGGAGGGCGAGAGGGGAGGCACTTGCCCCGGGCGCCCACAAACTGCTTGAGGGTCTCCACGCAGAGCAGCCAGCTAGGCCAGACTGGGTCTCACCGTCGCCTCGGGGAGCGGCCTCCCGGCCAGCGACGCCAGCACCTTCCACGCGCCAGGCACACCGAGAGAAAACAGGCCGGGTCCCACAGGGCGTGCCCTGGCCCGCGGGCGCCAAGGGGCAGGGCCCAGCGCAGGCTTGCTCGGGCGGCGCCTCCCGAGGGCGAAGGGGCTGCTTCCTGGCCCGAGCTGGGAGGCAGGTGGACGGGCTTTTTTGTGCCTTTCCAGTATTTGCTTTCAGGGTGCGCCGCACCGCCTGTTTTTAAAAGTTAAATCTGAACCGACAGCATTACAATTTTCAAATTTGAGCACACACAGACAGCCCGCTGCACCGACGGAGGGCACGGCCCCCTAGCGCCGAGCTCTAGCCTCTTCCCTCGCTTAATGCCAGGGAGGGAAGAGCAGAAAGCAGGCGAACCCAGGGCACCACGTGCCAGTTCCCTAACGAGCTCTTCACCAGCCTGTTGCTGAACTGCTGGGAAAGACCAGAGAATGGGGCCCGGGGCAACGAGGGCCGACGGGCCCCGACGGGCCAGGCGCAAGCTGCGTGGGAACAAGCCGGCCGGCCACACCAGCCACTTCATAGACGGAAGCTGTGTCATCCGAAACGCCCAGACGAGCTACAGGTGCAGAGGTGAAGACACCCCTGGGGGCGCGGGGTGAGGGGAGCCGGCAGCGGGGCTGAGAGGCCGGGCAGACCACCGCGCCCACAGCTGCCACCAGCCCTCACGCTGGGCCACGCGAAGAGGCAGCCCGGCCTCCGCTGCGCTCCTGGGGGAGGGTCAGCCCGAGGTGACAGCAAGGCTGAGAAACACCTCTGCGCCAGCCACTTCCACACTAAACTGGCCACAGGGCTTGCAGAACCCACACTGCAAGACAAGTCGGAAGGCCCAAACAGCCCAGGGGCAGGAGCTGCCACACGAATCCCACGAGGCTGCAGGTCCCTCTGCGGGGCTCCCAGTGTGGGGTTTGGGCAGGAGCAGGCGCACGTTCTCAGGAAGGGGAGACGGGACAGAAGCTCTGGGCCAACCCCATGGGGGTGCACTATGCTTCCTCCGGGCTGCCAGAGGTGGTCAGACGTGACTGACATGGAGGGCCAGCGAGTGAGAGGCCCTTTCACCAACAGGTCACAACCGAAGGGGGCAAGAGGCAGAAACGGGATTCTGTTAACACACAGCAAAGAATCTGAGGCAGCTGTTCTAAAATGGCTGAGCTCCAAAACACCCTAAACGAAAAATCAAAAACTCAGATCAACGCAGAAGAAGGAACCGTGCAATGATGAGCTTCAGTCCGTGTTAGAAAACCCATAAAAACAGAGGGAGGAGGAGCAACGGACACTGGATTTCTGCAGGAAATAAAGGTGACAGGTGTTTCTTGACTCACAGGGAACTGGCAAATGGGGAGACGCTCCCCAAACCCTGAAGGTGGTCAAGGATGCAGGTGAAAGTAGAAAGGAAGGGGGTTCCTGGTGTCCCCCAAGGCCCACAGGCACGAAAGACCTTTCCACGCACTTACCGTCTGGCTCCTCCAAGCTCAAGGAGAGCAGGAACCAGCCAGGTTATCAGCAAGAACCAGTCACACCCTTGGGCTTCTCCCCCACCCCAGTGACTAAGTAACTGGCTTCAGTGCGTTTGACATATGATCCTTGAACTTCTGAAAAGCACTTACTACGCTGGCTCATGAAATCTTAATCTAAAAATGCCCATCCATTTGCATCACGCTCATCGCACTGACACCGGGAGGCGCAGGCCCTGCTCTCTGGAAGGCCGCCCTGGAGACCCGCACCAGGCGCTCTTGGGGGGCCGAGAGAGAAGCAGAAAGCGATTTGGGGTCTAAAGCGGGAGCTGATTACAAGGCGGGGACAAGCCAGGAAGCTGGATGACCTAATTCAAAAGAAGGCAGAGAGACAAATAAGTACACCCGGCCTCCGGGAGCCAGGGCAGGCCTCCTGGGCAGAGGGGGGCTGGGCGTCAGCGCCCGCGAGGAAATACGGAGGCCGGGCAGACGTGAAGAGAGACCTAAGAAGGCGACAGCACGCCGGGCCCCACCCCGCGCCCTGTCCACACGCTCCCTCCGAGGCCCAAGTCCATGCTGCGGCGTGACAGGTGGACAGGCCCGGAGAGGCGCCCAAGGGTGAGGCAGGCCCGGGCAGATCCAGGCACGCTGGCACCAGAGTCCGTGCGCCGGACCTCTCTGGACTCCCCTAGAATTTAAACCCTAAAAGCAAAGTAACTGGGCTGGGAGTGCGAGCACCAGTCAGACACTGGCCGGGCAGGGCCCAGCGACCCTCCCTGAGTCACATCTCCGTGACTCCAGGCCCGAGTTCCTGGTCTGCGCCCTGAGAAGATGGGTCAGATGTGACCGCAGGCATTTCCACTCTCCAGTGCCCAAAGGTCAAGCTGCCCACGGACAGGATGAGGACTGACCGCTACCTGCTATTACTCAGAGCTTCCCTCCTCCCAACGCGGGGGGCGGGTTGGGGAAGGTGGGCCAGTGTGTTGAGGTTCTTCTGCCTCCTGACCTTCAGAGGATTCTTCTGACCTCTCTGCAGGCAAATACAGAAGCCAGCGGAGGGGGTGGGTGCTCGCTCCTCCGGGCGGCCACGGCCGGCACGAGCCAGCGCTCGACAGCCTGGGCGTGCCCGTGAGGGCCAGCGCTGCGGCCTCCCCAGCCCCTCTGGGGAGCCTGTTCTTGGGACCTGCTTGGACCCAGTGACGGGAATGCTCCGCTCGAGGGGGGGCGGCAAGGCAGAGGCGCTGGGGAGATGGAGAGGAGCCCGGGGCTTGCTCCGCAGGCGTCTCCTGCTGGCTCCACGAACCGCGTCTCGTGGTCTAGTGTATACACTTCACGCCCACTCCGGGGAGCCCAGACTCCAATTGTCAGGGGCGAAGTCAACACCCACCTCAACCTAATGGTCCCCAGAAGTAGCCTTCAGCAGCTAGGCATAAAGGTCACCCGGGGCGTCAGTGAGAGCAGATGGGCCACGCCACCGCTGCCCGTCCTCCGGGGAGTGTTTCCCGGCGCCCCTGACAGGTGGCCATCACCTGGCCTCGGCCTGGCCTCTTCCAAGGTCGAGGCGCTGCTGGGGCTGCTGGACAGTTCTTTTGTGGGGCAAGCCCACCCAGCTCAAGGACAGAGCGGGACCACTCCAGCTCGGGAAGTGGCCTCCAAGAGGGCCTCCCTGCAACTTGACCCCCTGGCTCCGTGATCCCCTGGAGCCCCGAGCTGCCAAGGCCCCTAGGGCTCCGGAGCTGCCGCCTGGCGCCCGGCCCTCTCTTTCCAGCTGTGAATCCCAGACTCCATCGCCCAGCCTGGCCCGCAGCCCCCTCGCAGGCCCGCCGGCCCCTCGCAGGCCCCGCGCGGCGATGGGGCGATGGGGTGATGGGGCGATGGCCGGCAGCAGGCCGCGGCGGGGGTGCTCCCAACCTCGGCCCTCGGGCGGGAGGGACAAAGGGCTGCGAGG